TGAGCTCTGTTAACGGAACTCATATAAACATCACGAGCTGATTCATATAGAGAAGGTAAAGCACCCAAACCAATGCACTTCTTATCATATATGTTAACAGCCGAAATCCTTATTTTGTTATCCTTGCAGGCATGGATTGCTAACTGCTGTAGCGAAGGAAGCTTAACACTGAGAGCAAGTAATGATTTTTAAAATTACATATATAAAATTGAAATATTTTATTTTAGCTAGATTTTTCAATAACTTACGTTTTACAAGTCTCCATTTTTAAAAGTCACTAAATATATATCAACTATTAGGTATCTGTTTTAACTGAACAATTGGTTAAAATGATTTAATTTTTTTTTATTTTCGAAACATTTTTTTTTTTAAATTTCAATGAGTTCTTTGATTCACAGAAATTAAAATTGCAGCTTCATATCTCCATATCATATATAGCACTATAATGCTATCCGAAGAGATATTATTGTACGCTTTATTAAGTTGTAAATAACGATTTATAAAAGTTTTCAAAATTTATGTAAAGCACTGATATAGATTTCCGAGTATTATGAGACCAATAGGTTAAGCGCGTTTTCCACCGTCAGTCATGGTCTATTCATCTATATGCATATTCGTTACAGATTTTGTTACAGATTTCATTACAGAAAAATATTGACTAGTTATTCACTTTTCATTTAGTTAGCGGAATGAAACCTTATACAGGAACTATTTGTGAATAAAGGCAGAATACATTAACTGCTTGATATGATTGTAGAGTAAGTCCCAAGAAAAAAAGTCATATAAATAGTTCTCTTACTGATTGCATACTTCAAATCTAGAATAATCTACACTCTAGAAATATAAACTGTTTGAAATTCACAATACAATGGTCTGCGTGTGTAGGGGTCTACTATAAAGGTCGCAACACATTGTTTTACGAAAAAAGTATAAATATTTCAAAAATACGTTAAAGTGATTATAAAATAATAAAGTCGATTGTATTATATAGAATAGAACTAAACAGTTAGATTGTATATTTGTCTAATAGAAAAGTTTTTAAATAGTAATTAATTACAACAATAAAATTTTATTTTTAATTGATTGAGTTCTTGGTTGTCCATACATCTGTTTTGAGTATATACAAATACGCATCATTAGTGGTCCTTAAAAATATTCGTTGATTTTGTAAGTCTGTATATAATTGTTGGATTGCAACTGTCAGGTTTTGCACTTAAAACCTGTCAAATTAGAAACAATGACTTGGCATGTGTTAACCGGACGAACCAAAGCTAGAACCCGAAACTTTCATTGTTCAAATTTTAAATTTTTTATTTTATTTTAATTTTTTATAAATTAACAATTTAAGCACTTGTCGTGCTTTTTAATTAGAACAAGCTTATAAGCCACAGCTTGTATAAATAGCTATCAGCTATTATAATCTTTTAATTGCTAAAACTGAAGTTCTATTCTTTTTGTTTAGAAACATTATTTATTGCATATTTTCGTATTAATCTTTCTTGTGTACGATATACTTCTGTGTATCTTACAGGGCAAGTTTCTATTAAGATGTCATGGTAATGTTATTCTACAATCTTTAAAACAAACAGAAAATTGAACATAATAAAATTGTTATGGGAAAAAATTAAAAAAAAATATTATTTAAACATCCTTTTAATATTATTTAAACATCCTTTGTAAAATGATGTATATAAAATTACTACTCAATCTACATATCTTCCATACTAACCTCGTGCTTTCTTCTGATATCTTATTTTTCTTATCTGAAAGTCTAATGCCAATGACAAATCACAATATGCTCTAATGTATATATTAATATGTAATAAATAATAATATATAAGATAATATATGTTATAACTGATTTTAAAACGGAACATAATCTTGTTAATTTAGACCTTCTATATATATAAGATTGAACGACACTGACACTTGAATATACTATGAAATATTAAGTTAAACTGTTATTCAATATCTTTATACTTCTTTCTTTAAATAGAATGACAAATCAGATATCAAACTGAAAAATGTTCTAAGATTTATCTATCGTTTTTCTTTAAAGCGAATGAGTTATCAGATTTTAAACCTTAATTCAAATTATTATCAGATTTTAAATATCGAACTGAAAAATGTTCCCAGGTTTGTCTATTATCTTTCTCTAAATCGAATGAGTTATTAGAATTTAAGCTGAGAAATATTATTAGGTGTGTTGATCGTTTTTCTATAAATTAAGTGTGATATCACACCTCGAACTGAAAAATGTGCTCAGGTTGTCTATCGTCTTTCTTCAAATCGAATGAGCCTAGTTTTGAGCTGAGAAATGTTGTTAGGTTTGTTTATTGTCTTTCTTTAAATCGAATGAGATATCAGATTTCGAGCTATAAATATTATGTTAGTCTATCGTTTTTCTTTAAATCGAATCAGATCAGATTTGAAACTTAGAAACGTTAAATTTGTTTATTGCCAGTATAATACTGAAGACATCATAGATCGCAGTGTATTGTTGTTATTTTTAAAAATAATAAGTATGTGTTTTCTATAAACAAATGTCAAAGTAACAGTTAACAGCATCAAAAAGGGCAGGAAATTAGTAAAGAGCAGAAAGTGAATAATTTAAAATTTGCAACAAAGATGAACTAGAAACACAAAGTAAAACTAAAACAAATTCTATGGATATGTTAATTATATTTGTTAATTTTATTAGACAAGTGTATCGTTGGTATGTTATTAGTATATTATAACCACTTTTAGAATTTAATATACTTCATACTTCCTATATATAATTTAAATTATTTTTTTATCATGTATTATAAGTACTTGGTCTGTTAAATTAATTTAAAAATCTATTATTTTGAAAACTATTTACGCTTAAGCATTAAGTTGAGTATTTATTTGCGTAGTTAAAATTACGAATTGAATTAGTGTGAAATACCACATTAAACGGCTAAAATACCAACTTCAATAAAATTACTAACAGCAGGTCTAATTTGGTTTCTTTTTTTATTTCATATCAAATATAATGACTAAAAATGCCAATAATGAAATGGCCACAACAATAACAACAATGCTAAAACAACAGATACATTGTAATCATAATGATAACATAAAAAGCAAAATAGACAAAATATATCCGAAGAAATCAAAGTAAACCACAGCAAATCAAAGTAAAAACTAAATACCAAATATGAAATGCTTGATGCTTGTACACTGTCATTAACATATGTTGAAATGCGTTACAAGGGCAACCAAAACATAATGAAGTCAGACTATGGAGAAAGAGCTGAAGACGTAAAGATAACAAATTTTATTGTTAAAAAAATAAAAACAAAAAAATATTATTCCAGCTGTGCACTTAACTGACGTTTTGGATTGATTACCGACCCATCAATGTCTGACAGCTAATGTTAATCACGCTGTTGTGAGTTCGCGGCGACAACTGTTAAAGTTACTGCTGTTAATGCTGTCGCTGTTAATGATGGCGCTGTTATTTTTTTTAAATGTTGAAAAATTTAAAATAAAAATACTTCAGCTTTAGTATGAAACTGTGAAATTGTGAATATATATGATGGCAATATGATAATGATGTTGCTGATGTAAACTCTATATGTCTGCACAAATCAATATAATCAAAAATAAAATTGATGTTTATGAAAATTAAACAAATATAAAATATATTAAATAAACACCTCTGGTCATTAATAACAACTCCAAGTTATTCATTCTCTTATACTAGTTGATGTGGCAGACATATCTGTTATGTACAAATGCTTGCAAAAACTCATTAAAATCAGTCTTGTTTACTTAATTGCCTTTTTTATTATTTAATAACATATGAATGAAATAAAACAGTTTCGTATGTAATCACAAGTGGTTTTCTGTTCATTATTATTAATTTAATAATACTTGTATTGAGATTTTTATGCAGATTGCAGTAACAACCACGTATGTACATACGAACCACAACCTGCGCAACATCTTCAACTTCAACTAAATTAACATCATCATTATCAACTTCACATTGTTAAGTGCTGTCAAAGAAATTGGCCATATTTATTGCTTTTTCTGTTGAACTGCAATGGATGTGTTATTCGTATACGTATCTTTTAATGCACGTATGTCTCTGGCTTCTCACGCTCATCGTCACAGAATGTCAAAAGTTATGCCATTAGCTAACTTTGGCTAACTATGACTTTGAATTGAAAGCTACAAACGAGTAAATCTACACAGACTATAAATCTCTTACATCTATCTCGAGTGATTTTCATGTCTAGTACATAAAATTTGAAATTATTTTAAATTATGTATAGTTTTGTTGCCGATGCTTATTAATGCTTATTAATTTTTAATTTTTATTTTGGTTTCGTTTGACCATCTTCATTAATTTTTCGTACATCATCTCATGTCACTATAGCTGCATTGCATATTTTTCCGTATTTTTCAAGTTGAGGTTGCAGTTACCTAAAATCATAATTGAAAATGTCAATATCCCATTTTATAGTTTGTAGTCAGTGGCGAAATTAGTTAATGTAGTAAATTAAATATTGCATTTATTTTATAGAATTAATTTTTTGTTGCATGCAATTTTTGCGCCTCTGCATTTTAGTCGTTTAACGCGTTCTTATGTACATACAAACTCATTGATATGCAATTGTTGAGATACATACGAAAGCAAAATGATGACAATTGAATGGACAATTTTACAAGCAGACTTGATGCAGACACCATCATTAGCCGTAGTACAGACCGTGTTACATGTCATGTATGGCACATCTGTAAGATACTGAAATTTATTCAATTTGCTCATTGTGCATTTTGACCTTTAAAAGTGAATTGTTTGGTGAATAACGAACAATTTTATTTCATATATTTCATATATTATTTTATTTTAATTATTTGTTGCATTATAAATTATTATTAAAACAAGTTAATTTTAACGGAAATGGCAGCATATGTAATAAATCATAGGTCTTTGTTTTAGTTTAAATAAACTTGTGTAATTAAAACAATTGTAATTGGAATTTATGTTGCGTAGTAGCTGAGCTTTTCAAATTCTAGAATTTATGAAGTTTTATAGTTCAAGTAATGATTACGAGTATATATTCGTACTTGTAGGTATATGTAGATATATATATATAACGATTGCTTGATAATGTTAATATATTCATTCTTAAAGAAGGACGGAGACTTTAACAGTTCCCAAGTGCTTCTGTTTGATGTATCAATTTATCTAAAGTTTAAAGCGGATGATATTTAGTATAGTAGAGTACATGTATCAAAAATTCATGTATATATATATAATAATATATATATTGTATTTTAACAAAATGGCATAAAACTGTGTAAGAAGAAGATTTAATTGCATTACTGACCCAGAATACAAAGTATTTCAAAAAAGTTAAATAGTATTATAAGCCCCCAATAATGATGAAATCTTTCATATATTAATCTTAATTGATAATACCCTATTAAATACTTAAATTGTGTCGCTATAGTTATATAACAATCTTCACGCTTATTTAATATTCTTTAATATAAATATTATATAATATTAATTTTATTGAAGTCTTTAATCATTGATTTGTCTTCAATGATATGTTTGATATTAAAAATTGTGAGTTGATGCTCGTTGAAGTTCGTTTCAATTTAAAATAGTGTAAATTATTTTTTTAAATATATATAATTGTTTCAAAATTTAAGAATTTTAATTGGTTAGTTATCGTGCATCAACGGCTAATTATTTTAAATACATACTTTGAAAACAACCTTTACTTATAAGACCCAATCGGTCTTATAAGTAAAATACTGAGGTTTTTTTCTATTAAAAATTTTAAATAAATGTTTGCATAAATGTTTATAAACAAATATAAATTGCTTTGGACAAAATCACTAATTATTGTAGTATAATTCCAAAACCGATTGTGGAATAAAAACTGCAGTATTATAATAAATGACTTTTATAAAATTATTTTTAAGCAATATCATTTCATAACATTTTCTTGATAATGTTAATTTATTCAATTTTAATGGAAAAACGTAGATTTTAAACAGCTCCCAAATAAGCCTGTTTGGTTTATGGTTCTTGAGTGATGCTTCTAAACATTACATAGATAATATGCTCCAGTCGTTTTAAAAATGTTTTATAAATTTTTAAGCGGAAGTAACCATCTTATATAGAAGGCAATAAAACATGACAATAGAAAATGTCAGCCATTTTGTATATTCAAGTAGCCATAAAGCTATAAGGAACTCTGAATTTTTGATCAGTCAAATCAAGTTGGTCCGAAGCGACAAAAAACTAATTACTGAATTAACCAGTATAAACAATGTTCAAATTCATATTTGCCTCAATGCTAGACTATTACTGATTTGACAGCAACAACATAGTGTATAATTCACTTATTAGATACTCACTTAGGATGATTTTGCGATAGCTTTTGTTTATCCCAAAGGCATAAGACAATATAAAAATTGACAGGTTGTCTGAGTGTAAACAGACTGGTATATTATATTGGCTTCATAATTGAAAATGTCAATCTTAATTTTTTAATATTTAATGAAGAAATTTGAAGACGTATTTATAACCTGCAGTTGCTAGAAAATGAGTCAGGTACATCCAAATGATCTTTATTAAATCGCCTGAGATCTAGAATTTCTAAGCAACATATACTACATTAGATTAAATTAAAAAAGGGAATGGGAGTTATATCACCAAAGCACGGCAACCTTTAAGGATTATTGTGACAAACCCACTATATAGGTATTTCCACAGGCGCGTAGAATTTAAAAATGCTATTATATCCTTTGGAGAGATGTTACCTGTTTCTGTTATAAATAAATAGGCAGTTGATAAGTACCGAAGTCTGACTCTAGCGACATAGAATGTGTTTTGCTATTTCCTCTTCTTTGTGACATAATCTGCAGCTATTGTCCTTTATAATACCTAGATTCGATAGATGCTTCTTAACTCCATAATGTCCAGTGGGAAACCTTGTTACAAATCGAATGGCTTTCCTGTCTGTAGGAAAGATCTGTCTGTCTGTAGCTTGTCTATAAAAAGTTACATTACATTGAATATGTTTTTTAAACCTCCGAGTTCTTATATGGTAACATAATTTGACCAATATGTCTAAGTGAATTCTTACAATCGGCGGTATAATTTAAGCTAATATAGTGTACGTGTAAGTACTATTTTCACAATGATAATTTATTACTATTGTTGAATTGCGATTAATGTATATTTTGATAGACACCTTTGTAATAATAACATTTATGATACTGTTCTTTAATTGCATTATAGGTATAGTGTTTCTTTTTATTTTTTAAGTCTTGGAATATTACGCCTTCTTAGGTATATCGAAATATAGACCAGAAGGTCACAGAATTTTTTACAAAAAACAATCTTGTATCGTTTTTCTGTAGTCTATAGTTTCTATAGTCATTCCTTGAAGTATATGAATATATCTTATTATATGAATATCATATGAATATCTTATTATCAAACAAATATATCCAGCTAAAAGAGTTTTCCTCAATCATCCATCATTTTTCTATAGTCATTCCTCAAAGCAAGTAAGTTCTTCTATTCATTGTTATTCATATAGTTCAGAAATATAGGTTCATAAGAGCACCTGATTCGCTAGAATTTAAGAGCACTTGATAAGCAAATAAGTTCTTCTATTTATTGTTATTCATTTACTTCAGCACCTGGGTTTATAAGAGATCCCAGGTGTTAGAATTTAATAGCATTCGATATGCTGCATTCCCAATTACACCGTTCCAAAAACATTTCATACTTCTTTCTAAAACGAACTGTTACTTTCATATCTTCGTTTAAAAATAATTTATCTTGAGTAAGAAAATTTTGTATTTCTGTTATAATACGTTGTAATGGGAAGATATTATGCAATATACTTTTAAATAAATAAATTTAAATGACGAAATTAAAATACAACTAATGACAAAATCGTCATACAGGCACTAAAACCTTTTATTTCTTTTTAGATAAAAGTTGCGTATTAATGGAAAAGGTAAAAAAATCCATTTCAAACATGTCACGAGTTCAATTCCTGTTAATAAAAGTAAACGTGCTCAGATTAAAAACTCCGAAAGCAACAACTAAGTTTCTTTTTATTTCTTATCACTTACTCAATCACGACATTTCTAAGACTCATTCGTATAAAAAACATAAATTATAAACAACTGCACCTTGGCAGTAAAATGGACTTCAAAAAAGTTCTCAGCCATTACTGCAGCAATAATAAACGAACTTAGTTGAACTGCAATCGACCGATCAGTAAACCAAGACAGGCCGCTACGCGCGCTGAACGCGCTTAGCCACCGCTGAGCCCCTGGGTCGTTTGCAGTTGCTCATTTGCTGCTGCACCTGACTGAAGTGCTGCAGCTAAATGCCTATTTGCTTGCAAGTCAAATTATGAGACCCAAAATCCCTTTCGATTTGTTTTGGTGCCAGTGTCAGCCCTGACATCGTCTGATCGTATCAAATGACACATTCCATTTACCCGCACAATAGTGACACTTCAATTAATTGCAACTGGCAGCTGCTGAAGGTTGTTGTGCGGCGCTATTCTCAGCCTGCCATAGGCCTCAAGCTTCAGTCTTAAGGTTACACAATTTCTGCATTATTTATTTGCTCAAGTGATTTTTAGATACTTTTTAAATAATTTTTTCTTAATGAGTTTTTGCATGGAAACTCATTCGTGTTACGTATACGCAGCGAACCGCTACCGCTGCCAACTTGTGACCTTTTTAATTAAACCTCAAGTGAACAATTGGAGTAATTGAGCGTAAAATTTAGCAAAACTGCCAATAGCCAATAGCCAACGTATCTGTTGTCGGTAATAAACTAATTTATGGACTTCTCAAGTGTACAAGTGTTGCCTTTGGCCGATTTGTTACTCTTTTGTTACGCATTAATGGCACTTTTTTAATTGTAATTCGATCTATTTTTATTTGGTTGATCCTATGCGGTTTGTGTTTACCCACTTAACAAATAATATCGATTTATAGATACATCAAGTGGTTGGAGTTTTGTTTGATTTATGCGTGAAATAATTAGAAAGAAAAATATACTGAGTCGAGCTGTCATTAAATTTTGATTAATTACAATCTTTTATTCGTTTTGTGTATTTATTTTTAAATAAAATTAATTTTGTTTATTTTTGAAAGTATTTTTATAACACTTGTGCCAATGAAGCTCAGCTTAAATACAGTAGTAGTGTTCATTCATATCCGAAGGTGTTCTCACAATGAAATAAAATATAATTAAAAAGTGTGTAAAAATACGAATATTTTTTAATTTTT